TTACTACATTATGAGTTTTATCATTTAACTTTTATTTTTATGCATTTTATCATTAACTTTTTATTTTTATGCATTAATAAATATGTTAAATATCTAAGGAAGTACCAATGTATCATTAAATAAAAAAATTCTCAGTCAGCATAACCATTCCACATTTCATGAATTGATAAAATGTAAAAAAGAAAAAACTTAAACAATAAATTGTAATGTAAGGATAATTAAGTGATAAAATATATCATTGATCTATTTTAAAGTGATTGAATGAAAGTTAAATAAAAAGAAAAACAAAATATTTTTTTTGTAAATTTCATATAATTTATAAAATCTAAAAGAAAATGGATTAGACGTTTCTTTTTATGTAAATTTATATAAAAAATTGTAGGATTTTTTTAAATATAAAAAATTTTAGTAATGAAATTAACAGAAATGATGTGAAAATAAATTGGATAAGAAAATAAGTGAGTGTTTATTTTATAAATTACGTTAACAAATTTTTCCCAATATTTTTATTAATAATAAAAAAAATCATCTCTATAATATATATATATATATATATATATATATATATATATAATATTTCGAGATAAATATAAAAATGATAAAAAATTAAAAAACAATAAATATTGATTTTTAGTTATACAAGATACATGTTCATATCAAAGATTAAATGAAGTGAATGAAAGGAAATGAGTTTTGAAAGACTCTTTCGTTCCAAAATTCATAGATTCTAAATATAATTAAATTAAATTTTAAAATAAGAGATTGACATCTGTCAGTAAAATTTAAAAACCTTTTAATCTTTTATTTTGAAAACAATAATATTATTATAATTTTAAACATGTAAATCCAGTGTATAAAGACTAGAAATGCATTTTTTAATAAAAATTAAATTTATTTAAAATTTTAGAATTTAAGAACTTAATTAAACTTTAATTATATCATTTAAAAACATTTGTTAATATATTAAGATTAAATGTTAAATTGTTATCTAACTAATAAGATTTAAAATTTATTAATACAAAATTAAATGTAGAAGAATTTAAAAATATTTAAATTTATAATTTCTTAACATTGGCTCAAACTCTGCACATTTGGTAGACACAGTATATGTGAGTGTGACATTCAAGCAACTGTTACAGTATGTAATATAAGTGATGATATATAAACATATATTTATTTTATCATAAAATTATTTATATTTTCTTACTAAATAATATTTGGATATCAGATAATATTATCACACTAAAATCAAGAAAAATTATGACGAAATATGACTTTTAAAGTAAATATAGAAGAATCACAAAATTATTATATCCTTTAATTTTTATACCATTTTCTCAATATAACATAACATAATAAATCATGTTAATGTAGTATTAAATAAAAACATGTTGCAATTAACTCTCTCCCAAACCTAAACCAAAACCAGAAACAACAGAAACTCCTTCTTCACCTTCTAATCTCATTTACTCATTCTGGAGAATCAAGATCCGTGAATATAGAGAAAAGTAAAGTTACACATGCAATGCAATGTAGTGAAAAACTATGTTATATATTCTTGGAGGAATCAAGATCTAAAATGCAAATAAAAGGTGTTGCTGGGGAAGCTATGTATATATATCCATGGAGATCCACTTTCAAATGTTACTAAGCAGATTTCAACAGAAAACATCATAAACAAGGGCTGCATGCATGTGTTGAATTGAACACATTCTCGACTTAAAGTTCAAATTAAAGCAGAATATTAAAAAATGCAGTACTGAAGAACAGTGAGATTGAACTCAGCTTCAAACTGACATGATTATCAAAAAGAAGAGTTGTTGTAATAGTACCTCAGTATAAGAGTTATGTTGAATTGACCCCTTCAACATTCAGATGTAGGAACTCCAATTTAAGCTCCAAAATTGATTCTGAATCTTCTGACGATAAAACGGTGAATCTCTTTGCGGTATTGGGAACAAACAGCACAAGCTTGATCTGATGATATGAGAAAAATCAGCCATTTGATGTAGAAAGAAACCAAGTATATTATCTAGGAGAGGAATCTCATTCTCTCTCTTTGATGCTAATTTATAATTTATTTTTATTGTAGTCTGAAACACTTTGTTTAATTAAAGGGTAAACCTTATTTTATAATCATCAAAGCTCAGAAGAACAGTGTATCTATAACTTTCTGTAGAAAAACTGTCTGAGAAAGAGAGAGAGTGTGATGAAGAGTTCCAATGAGAGGGACTTTGGGGAAGTGATACTGTTTGTGTTGTCCATGTATATAGTATATTATATATATATATATATATATATATATATATAGAGAGAGAGAGAGAGAGAGAGAGAGAGAGCTATTTTTTTTCACTGAGTCTGATGATATCATATACATTGTTTGATTTTCTTGCACCTCCTCATCTGACCAATAGTCAGGCACGTGAGAGCAGAATGCACGTGCCCCCACATTACCTGCCTTTGTTTTGCTTCTTTTTTTTGTGTTTTCTATGTATTCTCTTTTCAAGACAACTCTATTTGAGGCATTAAATTGTACATTTCTTTTAAGGAAGATTCAAATTTTGTTCACTGTGTTACAATATGTTAATTTCTTCATGACACATTGTTATTTGAATTTGTCCATTTGGTTTCAATCAGTTTTTTTTCCAGAATAGGTCTCTCTTGAAACACTTTGCCAAATTAAGGTATGTTGTAATACACTAATGCAGAATGGTATGTTCAGACAGAACAAAACACACAGGTTTCAGTTCAGACATGAAGGAGAAGATGGAGGTCAATTATAAGATTAGGATAAGTGATCTGATTTATTTCATTTTTTATTCAAAACAGAGATTTGGACGGTCTCAAAGTTAAGGTTGATAACTTTATAACACTCAAAGTGTTCATGGAAAAAGGTTTGTTTAGATTATCACTTTGAAACCTTAGCAATACACACATTAAATAAGAATGGAAAAGTTATATAGAAAGCAACATTGATAACTAAATGTTTTAAGATTTTATATTAAAAGTAATATCAATTTTTTCACGTGTATTGGACTCATTTCATGAATATCATGTTATTTTAATTAAATTTTTCCAAAGAATCAATCTCTATAACTACTAAATTCTTATTATTTACAATATTTTTAATGTATGTTTTAAGTTAATTAGATATATCCATAAAGTATAAATAGGAATCATGAGATGCCAAATGTATAATATCTAGATTTTGTATTTAGATTGGTAGTATCTATTATTTTATACATATATAGTGAAAATTTTGGTATTAAATTTATATTAATTATATTTTTGAAAACATTAATGGTGTTTTAAAGATTTACTAGGAATGAATTATGTTAGTTTTCATGTTATCTTTTACAACAGGAGTGGTAGGAAACAAATACTGAAGTTTTTTTTAATTATTAAAAGAATAATATTGTATTGTGAGAAAAAGAATTTTTTTTTAATTATAATGCATATTTTATTTAGAAAATTAGAAAAAGGTGTTATTATTTCTATAATGGAGACCATAAAAAGGAAAAGTGTATATTTATATAAATAAAAAATGTCATTATCTTTACGAAAAAAATAATACTTATTATTTTATACCCAAAAAAAATCCCCTAAATAAAAGTAATTAATTAATTAATATTAAACTATTATATATTTAAAATTTTAGATTTAAAAAATTGGGGGGCCAAGGTTGAAGGTAAATCCGTTCTTCAATTTATCTGGTGTTCTCCAATATTAATATTTTTTTGTGACCAACTTGTATATATTATTTATTAAATTCAAATGTGAAATAGTTTATTCTTCTCACACCAAATGTCGATAACTTTAATAATAATAATAGTTATTTATTATTTGAAACATTAATATCTAAATTTAAATTAAGAATAATCATATCCTTCTAACCAAAGATTCATTTTAAAAAAGATAGTGAAAAACAGTTGTTGCTTTTGAAAATAGTATTCAACATGTTTATTTAAGTTGATTTTTCCCTAAAAGTATTTTATAATATTTAAATTATATTACGAATCATTCCACTAATTCTAAAAAAAAAGAAAAAAAAGTTGGAGACAGTAAGAATAAATTCACCAAACTATCGTAAAACTCAAATTAATAAAATAATTTGTGAGAGATCTTAAATATATGTATATTTATTTATTTATTTTCTTTAATGAAAAATTCTATTGGGTCAATATAAACTAGTATTGATATTTAGAGATAAAAAAAATTATTATCTAAATTAAATTAGGGATGAAAAAATTCTATTATAGTATAAATTGATACTTAGAAGCTATTTTAAAAATTGAGGATTTTTAGTCTTCAAATTAGGTTTTACTATAATTGAATAGATTTTGATTGAAGAATTTCAAGACTTGGAATTGTCTTCCATTTGAGACTTGCTTCAAGATGTTAGTTGGATTGAAGACAAAAGGTTTTGGTAGTTTTGTGAAGTTAACTCTTCATTCATCATCTATATGTCATTTTTAACTTTAACTTGTTTTTAAAATGAAACAAAGGACATTGAGATGTGCTCATAATAACATAAGTTCTCCAACTTTCATTTTGTGTACCTAATTTTGATCTTCAGAAACCATCTTTTTTTCTTTTCTGATGCAATATAGGGCCTACCAACGTCACATTGTTGAGAAAACATAAACCCTACCTTACCTTTGAAACTTCTGCTGATGATTATTTGTCATGTTGTAACCTTTGACTTCTGACATGCAAAATTCTTTAATTGACACTTCAGATTTACCAGAAGGTTGATTTGAGTTGCTTGCATTAGTGACCAATATCAGAAGTAAGAAATTTTGCATGGCTTGGTACAAATTTGAATAGAATCATATATTATAATTAAACCATGAATTAATACACACATTATATACTGATTATCACTTAATAAACTATATATAACATGCCTCATCTATTTTCTCTTCTAATCTGCTATGCCTAAGGCACATCATAAATAAACAAATGAACCAACTTTTCCTGCAAACATAACATTACTTCATCTAATACTCACTGTAACACCTGAGTGGCCTTGACATGAGTCTGCATAACTTCTCATTAGATAGTTCAAATCTTTGTACAGAACTGTTTGATGCATCTCCACATATCTTTTCCTTAGGCATTCCAATTTCCTTGGCCAAATTCTCTGCCCCACTTTGTGTTTCAATTACTTTATCAAAGCAGATGTATCTACCAGAAGCACTGTTCTTCATTGCCTTGAACACACTTGCATGAGCTTCAGCCAGTTTGGTGACATCCACTGTTGCTAGCAAACCTCGAGAGTACATTTCTTGGGCACCTTCATTAGCAATTGTATAATGTTTAGATTCTATTATGCTACATTCTATCTTAAAATTTTATAATCAATTCACATGAATGAAGTTGCTCACAAATGGGTATCTGTTTGTGATTTCTAAACTTTCAATTAATCTTGGTTTTTGTCTCTACACTTCCATTTTGATAAAACACAGTTTTTTAACTTTTAAAGTGCAAACAGTAACCAGCTAGTACCTTTGAGGAAAGCAATTGTTGCTGTTGGATTCCTATGACAAAATTGAGGACCTGTAATGAGAGCTGGGCAAATGGTAGTGAGCTTCACACCCCTCTCATTAGCTACTCTCCAAGCAGCCTTCTCTGCCCTCATCTTGCCCAATGCATACCAAAGCTGCAATACATATTCAAAGCATAAAGCAGGGTCATGAATAATAATCATTTGTCACCAACATAAACATGTTCCATGGTAAAAAAATAACAGTATCATTGGCAAGGTGCAATCATTGTGCAAAGGTCACCTTCTTCTCTATGCAGAATGATTCACTGCTCCAAGAGCCATGGTTAATAACTGGGGTAAGGTCTGATTGTGCATTGTCTTGCCACACACAAGCTGCTAGTGATGAAGTGAACACACATCTTTTTATTGAAGGTGTTCTTGCACACGCTTCCAACACATTCTCAGCAACCCTGACTTCAATCTCAGCCATGGATTTCTAGAAATCAGACAGAAACAATTGCTTAGACATTATACAATTATTTTTCTGCTAGATATTGTTGTTAAGTCATTGCCACAACAATCAATGTAAACTTTACACTCTAAAATGTTTAGAGTATGGAAAGATTTTATAGTTGAAATGATAGAAAGTAACTTTGACCACATCCCGTGCATAAGAAGATATTTTTCATGGTCTGTTGGTGGCATAGGAATCAATTGTTTGACAATTCTCAGCATGTTGAGAAAAGAAAGAGAAGAAACTGATTTGTTTAAAGTAAACATATACACTAACCCATGTAAAACTTTACTCTGCAACAAGTTGTTGTTTTTTTTTTAAGGATATTCTGGAATAAGTAATTCATCCTTTGCAGGGGTTGATGTGACCTAACTAAAAGGATTACAAGGTTGAAAGTAAAGAGATTTTCCCAAGGTGCAGTTGTTTGTCAATGAGGCAGGTTTTTGGATGTAATTAATGAAAATATAAGAAATAAAATAATGTTTAAATCTGATAAGAAAAGTGCAGATATTGTAAGATGCAGAGAAAAAGTGTCCATACTGTGTATCCAGATAGGCCTGCAGGGTCAGTGAATGCCGAGGTGTGAAACACGCCACGACAGTCCTCAAATGCTTTCTCCAACCCATCAATGTCAGTTAGCTTTGCCATTATTACTTCCACTTTGCCCTTTGTCTCAATTTCCTTCACTTTCTCCATCTCCTCTGCACAAACCAACCACCATCATCTACAACATTCACCCTTCAACTCAAGAATACAATTCGCAAACATTATTTATTGTCTTGGTTGGTGTCTTGTTTTCTTGTTTAAGATGTCACATTATAAAAATAATTAAAAACATTCAAACAAGTCTTAAACCTAATTTAAGGTATCTAAGTAAGTTTCATTAGAACTAAAGTTGAGTGGTGTTGGTTGTCTTTCTTAGACCTAAAGTTGTTTTGCAGAGTTAGAAATTCAACTCCTGTTATTATATTTCAAAATAATATTCCGACACAGACAGGTTGAATAAAATACTGATTAAGAAATTCAAAAATATTAGAAATCACATTAAAAAAATCACTTATTTAAAACTGGGATAAGCCAGTTTAACCAATCTATTTATTATTTTTAAATAATCAAATTTTAATTAAATAAACAATTAATTTTTAAATTAAGCCAATTAATTTTTTTAATAATTTTTTATAAAAATATAATAAATATTTTTATTACAATTTCATTAATTTTAAATAATAATTATTTTATATAATAAATTTAATAATTATTTTATATTTACAATTTTTAATAATCATAATAATAATTTTTATTATTTAAAAAAATATATTATTATTAAATTTATTATATAATAAAAATATTATTTTATTAAATGTAGTTAAATCTTATTAAACCTCAAACTCAAAAACTTTCAAATCGCGAGCACATTTTCATAAGATTAATTTCGATTGGATAAATACTAAAAAACACATTCAAAACTACAGAAAAATACTTTTTTTATGCACTTTAATTCTAATAAATTAAATAGTTTTCAACTATCTTTAGATACTAACCATTTATCATTTATCTTTTCAGAAAATAAATTAAAATTAAAACTAAAATACTCTTTAGTCTTTTTAATTTCAATATTCACTTATCATTTCATTTTGTCTTAATATATATAATTTTATTTTTTAATTTTTATTTACATCATTTTTTTCAAATCCGTATAATCGAAATCATTAAAATTAAAAGAAATTAAAAATAATGTAAATATCAAAATTAAAATGATAAGAAATAGAAGTAAAAAATTATTCTAACTACATAAATTAATATAATTTGTTATAAGTTAATATTATTATATAACTTAAGAAAGGTTTAGCTGACAAAGAAAATCATTTATTAGTAGCAGTATTTTTTTAATTAAATTATATAAATATAATTTCCCGCATATATGAATGGAAGAAAAAGAACGTGTCATCTTATTTCATAACTTCTTACAATACTCTTTGGTTCGTGAGCGTACACGTATACTTTACCACGCCGCAATAAACTAATATTTAAAATAAACCAACATCATAAAAAAGATAACTTTTTCAGCAATTTTAGAAGAAATAAATAAATAAAATTGGTAAAAAAATTTATTAGAAATCAAAACAAAAATCTTAGAAAAGTTTTTTTTTTAAATAATAAAAAGTTGAATAATAAATTCACCTATTCCTTTTTCAAAATTTGCACACTATATTAATCAATTTGTTAATCTCTTACATCATCATTACCATATAAAAAAAAAGTTGACTCACTAAATATTATTGGATCTTCTATGGTCATCAAATTGCCAACTAGTGCACACTTTTTTATGGCACATATTTGTCACGTACTGAAACAACCAAACCCATTCTTCCACAAAACAAATTTGAATAACTCAAATTTAGTTCTACTTAGATTAAAAATATAAAGTTGAATTCATAGGAAAAAAAATAGTTTTACTTGAAATGCATCTCATCAAAGGTTGAGTTAATCTTCCAGGAACTCTTTAATGGCAGAATAATCAACTGATTTTGTTAATAAAGTATTTTTTTAAATCCAAAGGGTGTTCACCCAAAACACTAATTATTTTGTTAATGATGTTTTTGATACCAAAAGTTTGGAAAATACAAATTAGTTGTTGAAATTTTATAAAGTTGATGTTTTTAGTCTCTCTCTTCCCCTGTTTCCAGCACCCCCATTAACAAAACCCAGTTTAAGGAAGAACCAAAACATAAACAAACACCTAATCATAATATTGTGCTGTAGGTTGTTTTGTTTTCTCCTAGCTTGTTCTATCAAGCTTCATGAAAGGAAAGAAGCAAACTTTCTTACTTTGATTGAATAAAGTGATTATTGTAGAATCAAAGTGCTTATAAGAAAAGAAAGTTGATGACCAATTTACCTGGGTTGGCAACTGTGATCCGAAGAGAGTAACCTAATTGCAAGAGATGGTTGACCAAGGCAAGTCCAACATAAGAAGCACCACTAGTGACACATACCAAAGTTCCCATTTCATCACCATCTTCATATGAAGAAACAAAGTGGTGGTTTCCACCATCATCTTGTTTGCGGCCGTGGATGCCGGCGGCCGCCACCAAGTTCCGGCAAAAGGTCTCCATCTCCACCTTCTTATTCTCCCATGTGCACATAACACCCATTATATGTTTGACCAAAGTATAATATATGATATGATATTGGAAGAAGGGTCTTGGGTATGCCAAAAAGTGAAAGAAAATTGTTGAAGTTGAATGGTTTTGGGGTTTGAGGTTTGAGGTTTGATGGAAGTGAAAATGGTGGAAATGGAATGTGAATTTATAGATGATTGAGTCCAAAGGGTCAAGTGAGAGGCATGCCTTTGCTACTTTACCGTCAAAGTCCGGTTTGGCGGGTATGCCATGAAATAATATAATTATAATAATTATAATTAAAATTAAAAAATGAGAATAATAATTAATTATTACATTAAAAAAAACACACACACACACACTCAGAAACCAAAACGAAAAACCGTGGAAGTTACAGATGTGCCCACAATTTTTCATTGGATTTTATTAATGCTTCCTGGTTTATTTTATTGCATCAAATTTTGTTTGTGTTTGAAAATGTCATCATGAAAACATGAACACTTTCTTTTTTATATTTTGACTAAAAGTGAATCTCGTGAGTTTCTATAGTTTCAACGAATTTATTTTAAAAAAACTTTATAGTATTTTAATATTTAAAACACATACAAAAATTAAAATATACTAATAATATATATTCATAAATATTATATTATTTAGAGTTAAAATTAATGATAATTTAATTATACTTTTTTTCTTTATCTTTATAAAATATTTTTTAATAATAAAATCACGGTGAATAAGATTTCTAAAATCAATAATATCATAGACATGAAAAATAATTCACTCCTTAGTTTTTTTATTTTATATTAATCATGATTCCTAATCATAATGAGTTTTTTATTTTTTTAATACAATTTTTTTAAAAATAATTGTTTATCGATTTGATATAATTTTGAACAAATTCACCTATCATGTGTATTATTGGTTTAACGGAATCGGGTAAGAAACCAATTTCTTAAGTATTTTGGTCGAGTTTTTGAAAAGCATAGTCCTAACAATTATTTTTCATAAACTATAGTAAATATCTTCTAAAATTTTTGTCGAAAATAGAAAACATTAAAACACAAATACTAAAACGAATTAAGCATACTCATTGGCTTGTCTTTGTTTTAATATTTATAATAATATTGAAAACAAATATGAACTCAATATATTCATTGACAAATAATTCACATCAACATCATAATAATAAAAAATTAATTTTCTCACCCAAAATTATTTAATTAAGATGTGGGTGACTTTTTCTTAATTAAGTTACAATAATTTTATATATATAAATAAATTCATGATTAAAATTAGAGGTAAAAATTAGTCTATATATTATAAACTCTTAATTTATATTTACTCAATTATGTTATTATTAATATTCTATGTAAGAAGAATATGTATGAGTTTATATATGTATGTTATTTATTTTAAAATTTTAAATTTACTTTTTAATATTTATAGTTTCATAAATACATAATTTTATTTCTAAAAAAAATTGAATATACATTAATAGTTATTAAATGATAATAATAATTGATTTAAAAGGTAGGTCAAGACCCTTTTTGGCTTGTTGCAAATAAAAAGATGAAAAAAAGTGGTTAAAATATTAAAAAATGTGTCTTCCATAGTCACCATCTTAATAATTCTGGTAGATGGATTGGCTGTGATTGAATGATAAGAAAGTGATGAAATCACGTGCAGAGTTGGTAGCTACCACTCCAACACCAACAACAACGATCAATTCCTTTAAATTTAAATATTTTTAATTTTATCAGAAAATAAAAATGTTAAATTTTATAAAAAATAATTTAATTCAACACGACAAATTTTATTTTTTTAATTTATTGAAATATTTTTTAAAAATAAAATTATATTAAATTAAAATCTTAAAATGATAATATATCAGATATAATAATTAAATAATAATAATAATAATAATAATATTTCAACTATATACAACTTGAGAATTTTTTTTCCTGGTATACATGTATTAATTAATGTTGTAAATAAGTATGGTCGAAGACAATCTTATTTTTAACAAAAGTGTGTTTAATAATTTTTGTCATGTGTTTGGTCATTACTGAGACATTCTAGTTTATCTCTATAAACACATTTAGATTAGCTCGTTCAGAAACAATTTTTTTTTTAACAATAACAAGAAAAATAAATAATTTTTTCATAATTAAAATTATTTTATATATAAAAGTTCTCTCACATAATTTTTTTATAATTAAATTTAATTTTAAATAAATATTTTTTATTTGTCTCTTTTAAAAATATTTATAAAAAATTAATTAAATGTAGATCTTACTCTCCTTTCTCAATTTTAATAAGTATTGGATACTGTCTTTATCCATTTGAGTATATATATTTATGGAAAAATTGAGACGTAAAGGATGAATTAATTCAAAAGTTTATCTTTTTTTCCAAAACCTAATTATTTCTAGAAAATATATTTTAAATCACTTAAAATAGAATTTACAAGTACTATTTACAATTTTACATAATTCTATGTATAGAGTAGAAAGTGTTCAATACAAGAAAAAATAAATAAAAAATTTCGCTAATAAGAAAAATGATAAAAAAAACTATATTATAACATTCACATTTATTTTATAGAAGAGACGTTATTTTATAAAATTATTTTTTACTGAAAAATATTTTAACAAAACTTAAAAATAGTTGTATAAATAATTTTATAATTATATAATTTTATTTTCTTTGTTTGTTCTTAAACAGAGACTAAAACATTATTATTATTATTATTATTATTATTATTATTATTATTATTAATCTAATTTTAATAATTATTATTCATAAGTTCATGTAATTTTTTCTTTAAATATGCACATTTAAGGATAATTAATTAGATAATTTTTTAATTGATTGCAGTGTTTTTGATGTTCAAAGAGTTATTAAAATAAATAACCACCACAAATTCGTACCATTCTATTAAAAAAATTTAATTTAAAACATAAATCATAAAATTAATTTAATTTTATTATTTATGCCCAAAATAAAAACAACTTTAGAGCAAGTAATGTCAATAATAAGATATATGATTCAACTAATGAATTTATAAAATAATTTATGTAATATTTAAAAAATAAATAAAAAATGGAGTGTAATGCAATACTACCTTTCGACAGCGTACTAAACACGGCTTTGACCCTCTTTTATACGACAATCACCTATTTTTTATATAAACGAAAATTGCTTTAGCATCAAAATCATGTTGAATTAGAATATTATTAAATGAATAAAAAATTATAAGTGTTGATAATTGACCAAAGAAAAATATAATATGACTTATCCATAGTCACTGAAAAGTGAAAATTAATGAAAAGATGCTTTACAAAAAAGCGATTAAATTCAATGAATTCCAAAGAGAAAAATTGTGTTGATGATGCACCAGGAAAAATTCTTAAGGTTGGAATTTCTTGTTACAATTCTTCGTCGTTTTTTTTTTTATCCACTTGTGGGTCAATGAATAAAACTTTTTCTTTTATTTTTCGTTGCAAATATCTTTGATTAAGAGATAGAATTAAAACATGTCAAAGGTAGTTTTTATACAGTTAAAAATAAAAATAAATATTTTATTATAAATTTTAAGTATAGATTATTTAAAAATAAATAAAATATTTAAAATTAAAAAAAAAATAATTATATAAATAATTTTATGTAAAATTCATAATAAAATATTTAATTTATTTATAAACAATTTAATTTTTTTTTAAGATGTCCTTAAAAATTAGTATTTTTTGTTTTAGTAGTTTTTAGGTTATTTCTATAAATTATGTTTTAAGAACTTTATACATTAAAAAAAAGTACAAGTTAGTATTTTTTTTTCTTACAATTTAAAATTGTTCTTATTTCGAATGATTTAATATGTTGTTTTAATATTTATTAGTTAGTTTACTAATATATATATATATATATATATATATATATATATATATATATATATATATAACAAATATTCTATACTTACGATTATAATATTTATTTTGTATTATTATTTAGTTTTAGTTCTAACTAAATATTTTTATGTAGATATAAATTTGAGAATTAAATTCTTAATCACATATTTAAAAAATATAATTATCTATTAATTATTATAAGAATTATTATTATTTTTTGAAAAAATTAAATTTTTTTATATTCCTTTAGTCTTCTATTATCTTTTTACGATTTTATTTGCTCAATTTTAGAAAGTATACAATTTTAATATAATTCTTAAATCAGTATTTTTTTATATTTTAATTACCTAGGTCATTTTATAATTATAGTGTAGAAGAATATTTTGGATCCAGAGTTGAATTGAAGAAAAATAGATAAAATAAAACCGTTGCAAAATTAAGAAATGAAAAGTAAATGAGGAAAAAAATACACTTTATTCTTATTATTTACATGTTATGATTAAAACATTATTGTTAATTAAACACATTTGCACAAGTACAAGTTCACATTTATATATCATTAATGAATTTCACCAAAAAGTGTACACATTCTGTCACCTCATAATAAAAAAGATTAGTTCCACCAAAATTATACGCACTATTTAACTTAGAAAGGGACATCTTAAATCAATTAAATAATTGTATATATGTTATTATTCTATTTGTCTCTACTTATCTGTTTCTTTAAAAGCCTTAACTTTTTTCCCCAAATGGTACAAGTCTCCTTTAAACACACTAGTTGAAGAGTTAAAAGTGGTTTTTTTATTTTAATGCTTAAAAAAAACTATCTTTTTAAATTTGTCTTGACAAAACAATTAGAAAGACTATTATGTTTTTCCTATAATATCCTTATTCTTTTATTTATTATCTCACCTTAAAATTAATTAAACTATAATTACATTTCAATTTTTCCAATAAAAATTTCAACATAATTTAAAATATTTATCATAAACTGTGTATACTACATATCTAAAGCAGAAATCAAAGACTTTCCCTTAGTGTTTGATCCACTAAAGTTAGTGCTTTAATCCCTTTTCCTCAACCAATAAACCCAGATTTCACAAGGAAGAATATTTATAAAGAATTATACCCAAACATATATTAGTTTTAACCTATTTATTTTTTCTTCTATTACAAGTGTTTAAACATATCATTATCCAATTCGTTTGTTTCCTTATAAAACAAATGGTCAAATTTTGAATTATGGTTTTTCTACTGCTTTGGTCTTAAAATTGGATTGAAAAGAAAAAAAAAAAAAAAAAAGAGGACTACTAGCCAACTTTTAAACTTATCTACTTCTCACATTTGACCATGTCACCCAATTGACAATGAAATCATGACATTATGATTTTTAGTGAAAATTATATTAGGATGAATTAAATGGTGAAGTAAGATATGATGGGTGAAATCGGATTAAATAGAAGAAAATAATTCAAAATAAGATAAGATTAAAAGAAAATGTATCAGGACAATCAAATCAAGATGAATTAAGATAAATTGGATCAAGATGAAGATGAATTAAGATAAATTGGATCAAGATGTATTTGAATAGACTTGATTAAAAAAGGTTAAATTAAAATAAAACAAATAAAGTCAAAATATATTAAAAAAGAAAGTTAAATTAAGATAAGCAAAGTCAAGTAAAAGATTAAAGAGAATTGAGTTGAAAAAAAAAAAAAACAATTGGGTAAGGATGGTTTGAATATAATGAAAATGTATCAAGTTGAAACCAAATAGATCATCGCAAGTGAAACCCGAAATAAGTAATACTAATCCATATAAAACAATTCTAAAATGGATCAAATTAGGTCAATCCAAATAAAAATGAGTCAAGATAAGCAAAAATACCTAAATCAAGATTAAGTCGAAGAAGCCATATAAAAAAGAGAGACATAAATTTAATAAAAAATGAAAGAGAAAAACTTTAAAATTCTTACATTTAAAATAAAATTTCGATTTATCATATTTTAAGTAATTAGATCATTCTCATGAATTTCTAAAATTTCAATTCATTTTCAAAATTCCCTATCAAAATAACTAATTTTATCAATCTAAACACCAGGTAAATGATCAATGATCTTTAACAATTCCATTTTTCTCTTAATGAGAAAAATACAGTCACAATTAAGTCACGCTGCAAATGATAAATTCAGTGAAGAAAAATAAAATAAATCCCCGGGTCACAGAATTTCAAAAATCAGTTAACAAAATCTCTTTATGCACATAAATTTCAATTGCAGTCGATATGAACAAATACAATTCACTGGGAGAATTTATTGTCAGCAATATAAGTAAAACTTTTAATTTCCATCAACCATTGGAATTTTACACTTCAACACTTTTCAGCCAACATTCTGTGTATGTGTTTGGTTGTCCGGTGATATGAACTTATTGAAACACAAGACAAATTGCCACATCACTGAGCTATGTAGTTATATGCATTTATGCGAACTCTGATGAGTAAACTTCGGGTAGAATAAGAGAAATGAGAGGTTTAAATTACATGATATCATTATCTCAATAAATTACATTTTACAGGTGACTCAAGGAATAGCATCTCAAAATTAGTGTCTGCCGCAAACAAAAGTTCACACCACACATGGAATACAATTGAGACGTTCCTCCATCCCTCAAGTAAGTTGCAAACCATCTTTGAATGTTATCAATGAATGTCAGGTGTTGTCTAACATCAGTCAAACCAAACCATGATAACATTCATACACTTCTTCACTTCTCCACTTTGTTAATCATACTGCTCAATTGTTTCTCTAACTGCAAACAGACAGAAGGTGAGACATCCTAGTCGATGACTTGACTTGCTGAATTCCAAACAACAAATTTTCAAAGAGCAAATGTGCAGTAAACTAATCCATGGTTCATTCTCGAGAGACTAAGGAACATCTTGGTAAGTAACATGCAGCTTTAGTAATAAATTAGGGTTTTCCAAATTTATGAATTATATGGTCGTAGGGACAAGTCTTAACACAAAAAGGTAGTGGTCTTGGTAGGTAAAATTTAATAAATTTACCTTCCCTGGAACCCACTAGTTAGTGTTTCATGTACTAATCCCTACAAGGAACATCTTCCCACTCCTCATTAAGTCTGGTACTACACCCTATTTTTCCAATTTATGAACTGGTTTGGGACATGAAATTGAACTTCGAATTTGCAAATATGAAGTTTGAAAATCTTTTTAGAATTGAAATTTGAAAGGAATTGGGAAATTATGTGATGAGTCAGTCCCATATAGTACAGTATGGGATGCTTTGTGAAATCTTAAACGTTGGATTCTCCCCCACTTAATAGCTAGCTTTTGAGGATGAGTTTTTCAAGTTCTTGTATACTTATCAATTGGTGGATACGTCCCCTCTTAGGGGCAGTCTTACGATAGGAACTTGGGTCTTAGGGGGAGCCCAAGTCCCACATCGAATAGTATGAGATATTCGGTAGAGTATTTTAAAAACTACAATACAAAACTAAATCAAAAAATCCCTAAGTATTTGGTTCGCCCCTCTTAATAGCTAGCTAGCTTTTGACATGTGGGTTCCTTTAAGTGCTTTTGGCGGTCTAATTTCCATATGCTCCTAAACAGAGGCAATCAGTTGTTCACATTGAACAATGATTGTTACGGTACATACATTGTAAATTTAGAATTTACTTTGCAAGGCAATGAGTAATTTATTTAAGCCAAACTATATTAAAGAAAATAAAATAAAAACAAAAACATGTGGTTCTGACAAAAAAGAAAACGTTCAAACAAAAAGTAGTTTGAGATGAAATGGTGAAAGTAGGATGGACGAAGATTAAAATATACCTGAACATTTTTCAGCTTTTGTCTTTGTAATTCCTCAGCAAGGCTTCCAATGCTGACATAAGAGTTGAAAATAAGATGTACATCGAATTTAAGTTTAAAGATCAAAGAATAAAAAATTGGGTTGTATCATGTACCTGTGTTGTAGTTGAATAACCTGAAAATGCAGCTCTCGCTCCCTATTTGTAGCAGGTACCTGCAAGTTGAACAAAAATGAAATCATTTACAAAACAGTAAACAAATAGCAAACTACAGCAAAATTAAAAATGTTTTTTAATCCCCTCTTCTCGTCCATATTTTACTAAAAGACTTCTTTTTATTGATTTGATGATTGATCTTTAACTTGATTTTTAAATTCATATCTAAATTGTGTCAAACCCTGGTTCCAAAATTCAATGTATCAAATGCCTTTAATATTTTCTATGGGTCTAACCATTGGTTACGAAGGTCTACTATAACGAGAGGAAAGAGGACGAGGATAAGTTTGGAAATAGGATGTCATGCAAAAGGGTTTGAAGAAAAGAAAAAAATGGCAGTCAAACACTTTGTTGATTATGTTAAGCTCATGTAAAACTTGAGTCAACAGAAGAAAGATGGTCATTCACGCAGTTCGACTTTTAGTACCAATGTACTATTATACTTTATAAGTGGGGTTTATGACTTGCTTGATTATTGAATTATTGTTTTTTTGAAAATATTATGTTATACAAGGTTGTTAAACTCAAGATTCTACCCAGGATAGGGAGGAGGAGATGAAAACTCATTACTCAGACTTAGTAAGACGGATTGTAAGATCCTATGCTCTCACCTAAAATACAACAGCAGGATATATTTATAATAGTATAATAGGGAAGAAAAAAAAAATCCCATCGGTAAGATTGTGTTGAATGGAGTGGGCCAATTTTTGTTCAGGTCCAACTCCCACTCTAAATCAAATGACAAAAGAACCATAATTTTGTTCTCATTTTCCAGTGACAGCCCAAGGTGGCTGCTGTGGCAAAATGATGAAGCTCTGGCAATTGCAAACAAAGGAGAACCCAGAGATGAAGCAAAGTCAGAACAGAAGAGGGTCACGAATGGGTGAGAAAGGTTTATGAAAAGAACTCAATTCAGTTTTTCACCCACTCTGTCTCCTCCTGACAATATTGCCCCAGGAAGATGAAGATCCCACTGCAATCCAGCTCATGAATGAACCAGGTCATGATTCACCAGACACAAAGCTGTTTGGCACATAAGATTGGGCGATTTCACCATCTGAATTGTAATTTTAACAACAATGGCTTTATGCATATACATCATTAATAGTTTTTTGAAGACTTTTTATGCTAAGTAAACTCTTATAAGATTCAACTAGGTCAATGGGATAGCTTTGGGGTGGATGTTGCCAAACGACAGAGACGTTTTCCTTCTGAGTTTTTGGTCTCCCAAATTTACATACATTTTGCACATTCCCCTGGTGTAATGCATCTCATCATTAAAGAGAAAGCTTGATAAGAGAAACAATTGTACCAAAGTAATTTACCTGCAAACTATCAACTGTCCCTGCCTCCACTGATTCTGCATTCTTACCTGTAACAAGTGAAGAAATTAAAATTAAACAAACTCAATCACCAGATTTTAGGGGGCAACACACACAGAAGAATTACCAGAAGATTGCTCTGCATACTTTATTAATTTTATAATCTCTTCCTGGCAAAACCCATTGGAAAATAAGATTATGTTATAGAGTTGAAAGTGTAATGAAAAAAAAAAAAAACTACGAAATGCTACATAGATATACCCTCTGCAAACCATTCTGCTGCAAGATGCACTGCAGCGATGGAAGAATAGCCACAGCCATGAGATTTTGATTTGGTGGACTGGTAGGACTAACAACTGGGCCAGAAGCATTGTTCGAAGGACCCTAAATGAGTAAAAGAAATGGCAATGGTTACAAAGCCATTGCCTAAAACATAAATCACCTAAGTTCCATCCTTGGTGATTAATGAAGTCAAACATTCAAGCAGACAAATTCAACCACAATTTTATAATGTCTCAAGTTACAAAGGTACCACCTTTAATAAATAGTATAGTCTACATATATAACTCTAGCAGATCAAACCAGAAATAAATAGAAGACACATAACTCGTATATGACAGCACAATTTGAAGATTCAGCTTACACAGAAGGCAAATGCCAATACAAACACTCCTTTCGTCAAACTCTTCAATGTGAGGTGAATTTCATGTTGATCCCACTAAATAATCTAAATAAGAAGTTACCACCGACATGATTTAGTGGGTCCCACATTACTTTCACCCAACAATGAAGTGACAAAAAAAAAACTGCTTTGCTAGTAGTAGGGAAAAAAAAGATCTGCCTTTGATACATACCATTGGACTGAGATCTGCTGATGTGACCTTAAACCGTCCCCTACGCTGGACAAATGCTCCATCTGATGTGTCATCAACTGCACATAAAAATCATTAAAAAATTGCAGAAGCCATTTCCAAATGCATTTATTTTGAGATACAATTAAAAATATAGCTGGCATAGGAGAAAGAAAATTATACAGATTATCAAAATCCTAACCAGACTAAAAAGAAAAATACACATACCCAATGGAAGATTGCTGGTATCCCTCTTCTGTCGATATTGCAATGGACCACTGTGATTCCTCTCCGAAGAATACTTTGTTTGTAGATAATCCCTTTTAAGAAAAAACAGAACATATGATAGCACATTAATAGTGCAAGCCAAATATCACAATTCTCTCAATCCCAGATCATTATAAAACCAAGCTTTCAACATGTACCAAATTTTTTATAAATTCTCAGTAATCATGTTGCAATGCAACCAATGCAACTGCACAGTCTGTTAAATCCAAAAATGAGTCATAAAGACAGGCACAAAAAAAGTGTCAGACATTGTGAAGCATGTGGAGTCACAAATTTTGGACATTTCAGCTGGCTCAAATCCTTTAAAAAAAGAATTAATTTCCAAGAATATGATTGAGAATGACAAGTTCTGGTAATGGGTCCAGAAGAAATTGAGAAAGAAAAATGAAGCTACAAACAATTGATGTAAATATGAAAAATTACCTGTCCCCATCAGTGACAACCTTTTTTGGATAAAGAAAATTATCAGGTAGCAAAGAGCCACTCGAAAACTTTTTTTGCTGAGTGATAGCATTTTGTTGCAATGAAGAACTTTGCCCAGAACATTCATTTCCATAATCGTGATCCAGATCTCTTGGACTGTTGTTATTAACGTCATCCTCACACATATCAAAACATCCTCTGCATAATTCACATATAAATGAGATCCAATATTCTATAATGGAAAATGCATTACTATTTGTTAAACTATAAAATATTTTTTAGAAAATGCTAGGAAGAATTTAAATTAGTCACGAAAAGAAGACTGGGTCAATAATTCAAATATACATCCCACTTTTCACATTCAAAATTTCTTTAATTTTTAGTTAGAAGAAAATGTAATATAAACAAGTATATCATTCTATATTTGTAAGTAAATGGAGAAATGAATCTAAAAGAATATTGCATAAACTTCCACACACATCATGTAGTAAGATTTAATGAAGAATTGATGAGATAAAGTGATATATAAATAAAGGACCCAGTTTGTATGTTATAACTCATAAATACTTTACTATAAATAATTACTAAGCAAAATAAACTAACAACCTGATTTCTAAATACACACAACCAGCAATGTTTCAGCTTGAAATACAAGCTTCCAGATAACTGGAAACATCTATGCTACAATAACCCAAGTCTCATACACAACACTAACACTTAAAATAAAATAAAAAACAAAAATTAAGTTGAAAGGGAAAGAATGGAGAAGATAAACATACTTAAGTGCTTGAAGAGGTTTACTAGGAAATGAAGCAAGTGAACCCTCCAAATCCTGAAGGTTGTTGAATGCATCCTGAAATAGGGATGTAAAGTAAATCCGGTCCAGTATACTTCAAAAAAAGGTTTACAGTTCATAACGAACACAAGGCAAAGAAAGCATTAGATCATTTTCGGACATTAAACAGTACCTCCTTGTTCTGCCTGGGTGCTTCATCTGAATGATTAGCTGTTACAGATGATAAACCCTCTGCAGGAACCCTGAAGTCATCTGATCTGTCCTCTTGCTTCTTATCCTTTTGTGGCACTTCTGCATTAGGTATGTCATCATCTTGAATCTGTTGAACACATAAAAATGTTCACAAGAAGAAAGATAACATTGTCCAGTAATGCCTAACTTTTCCATCTAATAAAACTAAATAAATAAGACAAAGTAGTAAGATAAAAATACTTACAAGAGCAGCTTGACTTTTTAAATCCTCCAGGTTAAAATTCCAGGCACTAATTCCTCGAATATATTCTTTCTGTACATGAAATAGTAAATGCAGCATATACTTAGATTCCTAATTATTAATCTCAAGGTCTAATTACAAAATGAGCTATGGATACATGCAAACAACAGAGAAACAATAATACACTAAAGTGACATAATGAGTAACTATACTCATAAAATATCACCTAGCATAGACAGTGTCAGAAGCAAGCATTTAGAAACCGAACTTAAAGTAAACCTACCTGAGATAATTGATCCTTATCCTCATAAAGAGCCTTGTTCTGCACCAATAAATCTGCTTCTTTAGCCTGGTACACATGTAAGAGAAATGATAACAAAAACCCAAATAATTTCAACACAAACAGAAGAATTTGCAAATGAACAGCAAACCTTCAGTGTTCTAAAACGATCTCCTAAAGGAGCAAGGCCATCTAGAATGGTGCGAGCTAGATATTTGCTGGCACGTGCATGTTTAAAGAAGTGATGCTTTAAAAGCTTTTCTGAACTTGGACGTTTTTTTGGATCTTTAACTAAGCAGGTGGCAACCAACTCCTTGAAAGCCTGCAAAGAGATGAGGAAAAATTTAAATGTAAAAACCAATATAGTAATAGATCTACAAACTACAAAGTGCTTTACTAAACACCACGAACCTTTGAAAATCTCTTGTCTCTTTCATAATCAAGACCTGGAGGGGCATTTTGTAAAGTCATAAGCAAAACCTGCATCCAGAAAAAAAAAGTTGAAAAATTCAACCATAAGACAGAAAGAGAGACATATTGTACATAGGTAATAGCAAATATTCAAAGACAAGAAAATTACTTTCATAGGTGGATACTTTGAAAACGGGGCATGACCATGAGCAAGTTCGAGTGCTGTGATACCAAATGACCATATATCTGCTCTGTTTACAGAGAAAATAAAAATATAGAACTCAGCAAAGAGTAGGATATCAGGGAGCAAAACAAATGATGATGATAATAAATTTATTAATTATGCTTATGAGGGAAGAGAAGAATAGGAAACACTTACTTAAAATCATATCCATGTAATTGCTGCATGACTTCAGGAGCCATCCTGTGAATTAAACACAATTCATAGCTTCAAAAATCATTCTTATATTGGTAGCCAAATGAAAAACTACAATAAAGGAGGCTTAATAGAATGGTACCAGCATGGTGTTCCTACAAAAGTGTTTCTTGAACGTTGCCTATCTCCAGTATCAAACATACATGCTGACACTCCAAAGTCAGCTAGTTTGACAGCACCATTAGAATCAAGTAGAATATTCCCAGCCTGCATAGTTAAAAATATTTAAAAGAGGGAAACAACAGAAAACCACAAAACATGAATAAAAGGAAAAAAAAAAGTTCTTGGGTTCAGCTGCAGCTTTGCAAGCACCACAAAAGGAAGAAAACCAAAATGTCAGATTCAATCAATCAATGCCATTTTCTAGTTGATGATTAAGAAATCTAGCTGTAAGATTCTCAATTGTAATATCACAAGGGTGCATAGCTTTTAAAAAATAATAGGGCAGATAGTTGATGCATCACACCTTAACATCTCTATGTATGTGACCATGGGCATGAAGATAGACAAGAGCTTTGAGAACTTCATGCAATAAAGTAGCAATAACAGGTTCTTCAAAACCCTCCGGATAGGCAGATTTCATTATATGAAGGCAAGACCCCCCTGCCATGTATGGCATTACAACCCATAGATTGTGTCCGGTAGTAAAAGAGCAATGTGCCTGTAAAACATTTGGATGATCAATCAAGCTCATGGTCTGAACCTCTCTTCGAATTCCATCCTGCATAATTTTCAGAACTATCAATAAGAATGTATCCAATATCATACAATGAATAGAATAATAATTATGAAACAATGAATTAGAGATTGAATTGTTGAAACTATCCTTATATTAATGCAACCCATGTATTTATTCAGCAGACTTAAAGAGTGAACAAGTGAAAAGAGAAATAAATAAATTAGCACCAAACAATGTAATGAATAGTGATGATTGAAACCATCTTTTCACAATTTCATAAGCCATTGAATCCAAACATGAAGTAGCTAGCAGCATGGTTTAAGTGACAAGGGTAATATTGTAAATATATGAAAACAATATATATCTGCATACCAAATCATTATTGCACTTCTCTAGATCGAGAACCTTGATGGCAACTATCTCATTGAGTGGAACACAGAGAGCCCTGTATACAGAGGCACTAACGCCTTCACCAACTTCTTCATATAACTTGTAATCTTCTGCATTAAGAGGGAATCTTTTTTCCAAAACATGCTCCATTTTTCTTCTTATAACATAACATCAATATGTTTATTATTAAATGCACCACCCAAAAAAAATTGATCACAGACTGAAGTGGTGAAATCAATGTTATAATACTTCCAGGTTGGTAGCATTTGCCCTATTCTCAAACCAAATAAGAAAGTGCATCCAACAACTTTACAAAGATGCTCTTTTATCCCCAACCAAAATTCTCCTGACACTGATAATTATGTAACTGACAAATGCTCTCATTCAATGTTAGTTAGTATCACCAAACTTGAATTTTGAGATATCTGCCTACTTGTTATTCAGTAAGGTGTAACAAATGAAGCAGGAACTGTTTGCATATGACACAACTAAAACAGAAGGAGATAAGAACCAGAGGAGCCCATTCAGCACTGCATGAAGATAGGTAGGTGAAGAGGGCATCACATCAATCTCCAATATCTGCAGCAATGGTCTCAACAGCGGATTCACTACTCATGAAAATTAAACAATTGTCCCTACAAATAAGAAAAATATTACAGAAAGGATTAGAAGTGACATCCATAAACATGCAATAATAATACAAAGATGATATCCATCATATACACATGCATATATGCAAGTATCATGAACTAGTAATATAAACCTAAAGCTAATAGGTGAAGACACATGAATGGTTTTATATGTGTCTATAACATGCCTCCTCAATCAAGAGCTCTTTTTGCTAAACGCATAGATGATGCACAGGCTTACTTACCTGGTGCTTAAATTTATCTTTTCATTAGAAGAATGGGACTGGCAAGTATAAAATCTTAGACCAATTAGAGAAACATAATTATGAAAATCAGGAAATAAATTCAACTGTTAAAATTGAAGTAGTGTTTTGACCTAGCTTACTTAGAACTTCAATTTTCCTTAAAAGGAGAATTTGATCCAAAAGAATTTTGAAAAGAGCAACTTTTTTAATGAAGAAAACATAAAAAGAATGAGGTTTAAAGACTCTAGTTTTAGAAACTCATGACTTCTACTTCTCATTTTCCTTCTATATTTCAAATCCAAAACTTGAACACATTCCCAAGAAACTTTAACTTAAAGTAATTTTTAAGCCTAAATATTTATAAAGTTACCAAACAGCCCAAAAATTTATTTCAGATGGTTTTTCTACCTTTAAACTCTTCATTCCTATATATGCTTGGCCCCATCAATATTTTCTTCTTTCTTTGTTGCTTACTTCCTTCGCTCTTTGTTCTCACATTATGGAGGATTTCTTACCCTTTAATTAAAAAGAAAAAAATAAAATCCTAAAACTTAAGAGCTACTAGTCCTAGCCAAGGTAATTTCCATGATTGAGACAGTAAATAGACTCAAAAATTCATTTAATCACCTCAACATAGACGAGGCCAAACCAAAATAATCCAGCTGTCTGTGCATCACTCATTGCCAACAAATAAATGTAACTTGTAAATTGTTTAATTCATCCTGTGTAATGTCAGTAGCAATCACTAGAAACAAACCTTTGGCAGTTCAATCACACACCAGTTTTGGTAGAGGCTTAAATACATCACCAATTGCCAACATCAAACAACACCAATATGGCATTGGCGATTGAGCCAGCAAAATAGATTCTAAGATTCAGGTAATCACCTCAACATACAAGAAGAAGCAAAGTTCAAATCATCCAGCTGTACATCCGTCACTCTTTGGCATCAAATAAATGTAATTTGTTTAATGCATCTTTTGTAATGTAAGAATCACTAGAAACAAAACCTTCAGCGGTTCAACCACACTAGTTCTGCTAGTTGCTAAAGAACATCTCAAACTGCCAACACAAAATATTGCCTGTGTCACGGCCAATTCAAACCTACAACACAAGATTTATCATAAGGCCTTTCCCTAATGAATTTGTTCAATCAAAAACATTACAAATTTCTTGTACATCCTTTGGTGCTGCGATGGATTTCCTAGCAGCATATAAAATTATACAAATTCACCCTTCTGTCTCAAAGTCCTCCTCTCACGGGGAAAAATGATATAAGGTAGATAGACACCACACACTTCTTCACAATATAATCAACACTACAGCAATGCTTTGCTGTTAGCACTCAAGCCTTTAAAAGCTAAGTCTTTTAGATCCCAATAACTTTGATGGATCTAATAACACATTTAAGTATATGCTCTTCCTCTCCACAAGCCATAAACTTTGAGCTACAAAAAAATCCACCTTTCTATGTTTATCATTATTTACCTAATCAAGGGCTGCTATTATCTATGCACAAACTTCATTCCCATGCAGATTCGTCTTCTATTCTCAAATATCTATCCACCTAAAAATCAGTAAGTGTAAAAAGATTATTTATGCTTCCAATTGCCTTCTTGGTATGTGTACAAACCACCCAAATCAAAGAACTCCAAGCTAGTCATCCAAAGCTTGATATGGTTCATTTGAGTAATTAACTGATGACATTCCTAGAAACTCATCAATAAACATATCAACAAACTTGAAAGCAGAAAGTAAATTAACAAGGAATTTAAGGACAACAACATGGGGAGATTGAGGAGTGTGTGTGCACATAGAAAATTTTCTGAGATTGGAATATCATTTATTCCCAATATTTAGGTTCTGAGATTCCATGTATGCTGTAGATTAAAAAAAAAAAACCAAGCCATTAAAGCAACAATTGAGTAGGTATGGCTTAGATCAAAATGGGTGGATTGCTAATGCAGCAATCCAAGCTTCTCCTTTTAGATAATATTTGATCTAGCTATATTTGCGCTTCTCCTATCCTCAAAAGAATTTTAAAAATATAAATCTTAAAATTTGAGAGCTCCTAGACCTAGCCTAGGCAATCTCCCATGATTGAGCCAGCAAAAAGGTTCATCTAATGTCCTCAACATACAAGAAGAAAAAATAAAATAAACCAGCTGCCTGCCCATCACTATTTGCAACAAATAGATATATCAAACCTTTAAAATGTCAGAATCAGACTATCAGACCATCAGCTGTTCAACTACACAACAGTTTTTCAAGTTGCTTAATTACATCTCTAATTGCCAACGTAAAACACCGCCAATGCGTTATTGGCAATTCCAAACTACAACATAAGATTTATCATCAAATCTTTTCCTAATGGAATCTGTTCAATCCAAAATAGAAGAAGCACATTTCTAGTGCATTCTTTAGGGATGCAATGGACTTCCTAGCACCATAAAAATTTCTACTAAACCCATCCCCTGATTTTCTTCTTGGGGGGAACAATTGATTCAGGGCACAAGGTATGGACATCCCTTTCCCAATACATAAAGTACTTCAAATAGCTTATTTTTCCTTTAATTAAAAAGAGACAAATGCAATTTCCTTAAAAGTCGAGACTTGAGAGCTTCTAGACCTCCTGAGCCTAGGAAATTTCTCATGATTGATTCAGCAACATACATTCTAAGATTCATGTAATATCAGCATAGAAAAAGAGGCAAAATTAAAATAATCCAGATGTGACCATCCATCACTCCTTGCCAACATATAAATGTAATTTGTTTTATTCATCCTTTGTTAAGTCAGTGTCACTAGAAATAGACCTTTACCAGTTCAACCACACGTCAGTTCTGCTAGTAGCTTAATTACATCCCCAATTGCAAACACACAGCATTGCCCGTATCATGGACATTTCCAACCTACAATATAAGATTTATCATATGGCCTTTTCCTAATAGAATCTGCTCAACCCAAAACACTAGATACGGAATTCATTTTCTTCTACATCCTCAATTGCTGCAATGGATTTCCTAGCAGCATATAAAATTCAACTACAAATCCCCCCACCCTCCCTCTCAAAATCTTCCTCCCACAGGGAACAAATGATATCAGGCATAAGGTACAGACCTTAGACTTCTTCCCAATATAAACAACACTTCAGCACGCTTCGCAGTTAGTACCCCAGCCATAAAAAGCATAGTTTTTAAGATCCTATAAAAATTTGACAGATCTAATAACACATCAAAGTATACCCCGTCTTCCTCACTGCAAGCCAACCTTACTACAATAACCTTTGAGCCACAAAAAAATCCACCTTCTTTCTATGTTTTTCATAATTTAGTTCAACAAGACCTTCCATTATTATCTACACACGAACTTCATTTCCATGCAAAATCTATTCCACTATTCCCAAATCTCAATCCACCAAAATAAAAAAAACGGCGAAGTCAACAATCGACTACTGTTGCATTAACTGGGATAAACAACCCAGTGATAGAAAACACTGCAAAATCCAAAATTTAAGAAAGTGCTTAATAAACCTCTAAATCCAATCCCCAATCATAAAAAGGTAAAAATAAAAACACGTCTTTCAAAGATTTTCAACATTTATCACCGCTTCAACTGCACAAAACCACGAAATTCACCAAAAAAAAAAATGAAAACAATCCACAGGCATTTGATCACTGCAATAAAAATCACAAACAACATCCTCACCACGAAAAGTGACAGAAAAAAGGGAAAAAAAAAAAAAAACACGACCAGAGAATTTTCGGTTAGTCAATGATCGAAAAAAAAGGTGCATTCAAGAGAGGAAAACGAACGTATTGAGAAGAGAGAAGAGCTTGGAATTGAAATTAGAGTTGGGAATTGACGAACCTAGGGTTTGTGCCTGCATATAAGAAGAAGCGTTTACTTGAATCTGACCAAGTCAGAGAGAGAAGAACAACAATGGGAAGTGAGAAATCAAAACGACGCCGATTCAGCAAAATTCAATTGCTCCACTGATCAACGGAGCAAACCACCACGGAGTGATTGGTCTTCACTTCTCTTCAGTTCCACAGCAAAACTCTTTCTCTCTCACTGTGTGTGTTTTTTTCTGAACTTGCTTCGTTTTTTGTGCCACAACACAACGAACATCACAACACAACAACACACTTCAACCTCGATTCAATCTCACTACTGACTGGTCTCTCTTATTTTCTGGACACGGTTTAAACAAATTCACGAAAAAATGAAATAAATAGGAATAATTATGAGTCACATTGGTTCTCCACTCGGTTATTTAATTCATCATATTAAATACAACAATTAAATTAATTGATACTTTTTCTAAAGTTTATCTTCAATCTACAATCTTTTGTCTTGCATTTCATTTTAAAGAAAAAATATTTCAATTAATCAATACAGTTTTATAGAATAAATGGTGCATTAATTATTTTAAAAAATATTTTTAGTCAATGTGTTTTCTAGATTAAGGTAAGTGTAAAGAAAATCACTAATGTAAGAAAATAAAAAAAATTATCTTGTTGGTAATAATAATAAAAAATTACAGGTTTATTTTTCATTATGTACGAAAAAAAAGAGAGAGCAGATAGTATAAGCGATTTATTTTATAAAATTATCTTATTTTTATATTTAAAATGTTAATATATATATATATATATATATATATATATAATTATTATTTTAATATGAAAGTAGTTATAAAAATAAATGAATAATTTAATAAATTTATTTATTTATTTATTTATGATATTATTTTATTAATTTAATTTCAAATGATTTAAGAAAAAAATAATTTTGTAATAAAAATATTTTATAATTATATATAAAGTGTATATTTTTTTAAAAATAGATATATAATTAAAGATATTATTTGTTATTTTATTAATAAAAAATCAATAATTATAAGAATAATTTTGTAATTAAATAAATAAATAAATACGAATATTGTTTACTAAAATTCTTTTTTTTTTTACATTTTCTTTCATCATACATGGTTATTTGTTTTACAAGTCAATTAAGAAATATAAGTAATTATTTATAAAAATTGATAGAGAATAAAGAAGTTAATCCCTCAATTTCAAAATATATTTATGGTTGGGTTAAGATATATATTAATTTTTATTATTTTAAAAGAAATTTGTTATTTTCAATAAAAAAATAATTAACAAAAAATAATTAATCTAATATTTAATTTTACAATTTTCATATAATTTAAAATATTTTTTTCTCAACAAAATGCTATATATTTTAAAACATACAAAATATATACTTTATATTTATATCAAGAACTAAACAATATAGATTAAATATATTTTAAATTCTTATATTATTAATTTTTTTCTTTTTAAAATATTTGTTAGTATAAAATTGTATTCATTTTAATTACAAATTATTTATCCAAAAAAAATATTATAAAAAATTTGAATTTTAGAAGGAAACCGAAAATAATTTGATTTTCATGTATATAGAAAGTTGAGAAAAAAAAATAAAGAAATAAAGGCTATGTGGGTTCCCCTAGGAGATTTCATTTTAACTGGTGAATTTATCGGGGCTCTATTTATTTTATCGGCAAATTATCTTCTTGGTTTAAACTAAAAAAAATAAATTATCATCTACTACTATATTTCACTTTAATTAATGAAATTAAATTTGAGTCTTAAAGTATAAATTAATGGTAGCATTAAATTTCAATCTTAATACACACTACTAAAAATTCTCATTTTTCATGGGAATATTTTTGTAAAATTTTGGTAAAAATTGCAAGAAATAAGTTTTCTATAAATTTAAACAATTTTTTACAAGAAAATTGACAGGAAAAAAACTAGTTTGACAAATTTAAAATTAATGAAAAAAATTACATTTTTTTATCGTAGTTTAACATTTCTTTTAAATAGATTATAAACAATAAATAATAATAATTTTTTAATGTATACATTATTATATATATTGTAAAATCACCTAATAAATATTTGAAAAAAATATATAAAAACACATTAATATTGTATTGAAAACTAAAAAATAACGATTAATTTAAAAATATTAAAATAAAATTAAATACTATTAAGGCTAAACACCAAATGTAAGTAAAGATTATCATCAATAATATTTATGATATTATATTAAATTTTTTCCTTCAATTAATGATATTACATGTGAATCTTAAATACAACAAAATTTAAGTCTTAAATACAATATGATAAACATTTAAAAAAAAAATTATAAAAAATTTATTCAATCCAATTTTTTTTCCAAAAATATATTTGAATAATATATATATATATATATATATATATATATATATATATATATTAATTAGTACAGTATATCTCAAAATAAACTTAGTCCAAACACTTTGAAAAATAGATTAATTTACGATAAAAATGATTATGATCTAAACTGAATCAAAACATATTTTTGTTGGATCTATTTAGATCATGATATAAGTGAACTTAGATTAGACTAACTCATATGTTTAAATGGTAGATTCGTTTTATAGAATAATATTTATTTTTTAAATAAAAATAAAAATAATATTATTTTATTATATATATATAATCTTTTTATCAACTCTTTAAGATAACAAAAATAATATTAATAAATGTAAACTTTAAGTATGAAGGATTATTACATATAACTTTTTATCAACTAATTAAATATATAAAAATTAAATCTCACAAAGTGAAAAAAATAATAATAATAATACGTACATAAGAAAACTACAATTTTATAATTTTAAGATGTTTCAATTTTTTATTTTTTTTTATCTTATTAGTTTGTAAGTAATTGGTGAATATTTGTCTTATTTTTTGGTTGAAATTGTTGAAGAATAAGTATGATGTTGAGAGTGAAGTGGAAGTATTTATGGGTTCATTATTATTGGATGTCTATTATTAAAGGAAGCATGATGAAACAGAGGAGAAACATTACGTGATAGCCAAACAAAACATGTCTACTCATTCATATGTCTCTGTCTCACCTGCATTGTGTTTTTAGGGCTTTTGTTTGGTCAAGAGTACAGGTCCCAAAAACTATTCCAAATAACTTTTATCCATTATATTTTTATCTTATAGAAAGAGAAGATAATACAAACTTTTTTTAATTCTATTGAGAAAATGTTAAAATAATAAGGATATTATTTTAAAAAATATTAATAAAAAAATTATTTTTTAATTGATACTAAGATATATATAAATTATAAAATATAAGTTGATAAAATTATATTTTGTATCCATAAGAATGTATCAGTCACGTAACAAAGTATGATATAATATAGTTAGAATTAATTTTTATATGGAGAATTATATTTTATGATTTTGTCTTTAAAAAATATCTTAATATATATAAGAAATATATATAAATTATTTTAATATAAACTCTTAAATATATACAATTTATAAGTGTAGCAAAAGAATATTAAAATCATAAAAATATTAATAAAATTATTAAAAATAATAAAATTTAATTTTTATTTATTTAACCTAATCTTAAATTTCGTATATTTAAAAATAGAGAGAGTAGTGACTAATTTATATTAAAAATATTTAACTTTTTATAAAAATTATTTTAATCATATTTCTTTGTTACATATATTTAAATTTGAAATATTCATTAAAAAACCTAATTTTTATTTGAGTGGTGTTTTTCCGACAATTAAAAATAATAATTAATAACCATTGTATTTGTAAAATAAAATAACGAGAAAATATTTTCTTATTTTGTTGAGATAATTAGAGCATTAGTATAAAGTATTTCGTGACAATAATTAATCACGTTTTATTTTTAAAACTTAAACTCTAACTATTACAGTGACTAATTATTTTTATCATGTTTGAATTTTCATTAATCTCTTTCTAAAATTACTTTTCAGACAAAGAATTACAAAAGAGTGTCTTTTTCCAGAAGTAGTTTTAGCACCTAAAAGTTTTTTTTATTTATTTACCCAAAATTTACTTATTGGTTAAAATATTTCACTTAATAAGTAACGTTTCAGTTTTTTAAGTTTGTTTTACAATTTTAATATAATATATGATTATCTCTTACAATTAATTTACTACTCATATTTCTAATAATAACATATAATTAAGATAACTTCATTCTTTAGTATAACTTTGAAATATATATTTCAAAATTTAATGTCGATAACATTAAAACTTGGGTTTAAATGTTGTGAGGTGTTAATAAATAAACTTCGAGTCTTTCTATATTTTATTGGACCATTTTCATTGGTCACCAGCAATGAAGTGTGACATAGACCTTTATGTCTGGCATTGAATGATATTTATGAGATTAATTAGGTATTTATATTTCATTCTCAGTGGGACACATGGCTTTTTATCCTACATTTTTAGGAAACTAAATTTGATGGAAAAAATAATAATATTTCAAATAAAAAAAATTATAGCAAAGACAATATCTTTATATTAGGTTAAACACAATTGAAAATGGAAATTGAAAGGGTTTAAATTTATAAACAAGACAAGATGAAATCTCTACTTAAAAATATGAATAGTAAGTTAAACACGATATGCAAATTAAAAAGAAAAAAAAACAAATATTTTTTGTTTAAATAACTTTTTCTTAAAAAAAATGTTGTCTAAATTAAACCATTTATAGATCAAATTTTAAGATTAGAAAATATTTTTTTAGAAATATTAACTTTATATATTTTAGAGAACTAAATAAATAATAAAAAATAAAATTATATCTTTTATAAAATAATTATAATAAAATCAACTAAAAAAAGTGAGTTAACTAAATTTAAAAAAAAAAATATATCTTATTTCAGTTAAACCTTACTTTATTTGAGATCAAGGATAGTGTTTATATACTTCTCTATTAACCTTGAGATATTTTTTGAAGATAAAATTGTGATAAACTTAAATTTTAAAGTGGTCAATTTCTTATATTCTTTTTTATTCCAACGTGATATCTTTTAAAAAAAAATACCGTAAAATAAATTTTAATGTTAGTACCAAAAAAGGGTCTTACTAACATCACTTAAAAAATAATAATTTTAATTTAATAAAAAAATTAAATTAATTTCAATAACAAAATAAAATTCACTAACTTTAAAATATAAAGCCTCTAAAAATGTTAGTTTCGTTATTTCCATGTAACGGGGAATTTATAAAGAAATTATGAGGTGTGAAAAGAAAAAGTAATCGAAGATGGGTTTTCAAGTTATTTTTATTTATTCTAGTATAATACTTCCTTTTTGCAAAAAGGGCAAAGCCCAGGGAAGTTTTTCATAATAATGGTTAATTTTCGCACCATATTTTTTTTGGTTAATTACACTAATTTTTTTTTCTTTCAAATTTTTATTAGAAAAAATAGAAAAAAAAGTATCCTGTCTAAATAAAATGGATGAGTGGATGTTTCTTTCGGAAATAGGTGTGATTTATAAAACATTGGGGATTAAATTTCTGAAATTTAATTTTATATTAAAAATAATATTTCTATTTAGATTTGTTTGTATTAATTTTATATCATGAAGTTGTAATATAAAATGAATGATAAAGAATGATAAGGCTAATTTTCATATATAAGATATTGTCTATTTTAAAATTTTCTTTTATTATTGTTTTGTCGTTAAAAAGACGAATCGATAAAGTAAAAAAAGATATATATAAATTATTATTGACCTCGACTTCTAAATTAGGTGAGACTCATCAATAATAAATAATCAAAATATTCAGATAAATATTGTATCATTATTTAAGATATTAGGAAATCATCCTAAAATATTTAAAACATTCAATAAAATAAAAATAAAATATATTTTCGAATGATTATAAGTCTTATTATTAAAGTATTGAGAGTTGTTACCAAAAATTACTTAATAATAAAAATAAATATTTTATTATGGATCTCATGTCTAACTTATTTAAAAATAAAGAAAATGATTTAAAATTAAAATAAAGTTATTTAGATAAACAACTCTAATCATATTTAAAATAACTCAAATATAAAATCCATAATAAAATATTTAATTTTATTCTTAAAATTAACTTCTTTTACATATGGTAAAGGTTGAGTATCACCTTCCTTTCATCACTCTTTTTTCACTTACTTTAAATAATCAAACTTTTGAGTATTTTCAATCCTCTATAAAATAAATATTCTTTTACGAGCAAATTCCTTAACCTAATACCGTGAGCGTGACTCTATGATTGTAAAGTAAAAGCATGAAATCAGTTATTGAAAGCACGATACGAACAACTCCAACTCTAAAAGCAGAATTCAAAATTCTTTATTTTCTGAAAAAGCAAAACTAAACCTATAACGAAAAGCCATTTTCTTTTTCCTTTTGTTTCCCCTACAAAAAAAGCCGTGAGATCCACGTTTTAGACGAAGGCATTGATTGATGTTGTTCTAGGTCCAAAATCTTGTCACCAAAGCTTCCACATCATCCAAACAAAACCCCCATGCTCGCAACTATTTGAAAGCCACTCCACAAGACTTTTTTATCAGAACGAGTTAAGACTCCACATTTACTAGTGGAGTGCATCATACGTTTGGAAATTGAAACCAATGTGTCCAAAACTAGTTGCGTTTTTGTCACAATCAAATACAGTTATCAATACTAGCTGCAGATCTTGTCCGGATCTATCTAGGTAGTGACGTTATTTAAATTTTATATAATTTATGATTTTGCTTAATAAATATTTAATATATTTATTTATATATTTATAATTTTATTTTTTTAATTCTTTTTCAATTTTGTAACTCTTATAATTTATGATTTTATTACCCTTAAATTTAATGATTATTTAATATATTTAAGTATATATTTATAATTTTATTTTTTTACTCTTTCATCTTCTTTCTTCCTTTTATATTTATTAATAATATATTATTTAGTCCTCCTAAAATCAATGTTCAAAATCCGTTAAGGCTCAAAATCAGTTATTGCTCTCAACTACCGAGAGAATTTTCTTCTCCTTTGAGTAGTGTTACTTTCAATAATCAACATCTTTATCTAATTTTTTTTTTCAGTATTTCAATTCAAATCGATATTATGAATAATTAGACCATCAATTGTAATTTCACCATTTCCATTTTATTGTTGAGTTTTCATTTGGGTCAACTTTTACTTTTATAAAGGAACTTGTTTTTGTTTTTTTTACGAGAAATACTTTGTTATGAAACACTTTCCAAGATCTTTTAACCTCACAAGTCTTCTACTTAGTCAATAAGTAGTTTAAAATAGTTTTGGTTTTTCTAGAAATAGATTATTCATGTACTCACATTTTAAGATAATTTTATGTAACTATTTAGTTCCATACTATAATGTACAATAGTTACTTTAAAAGTCATTTTATTAATGCTTTTTGAATATGTATTTTCTATATTATATAACCATATAGATAATAAACTCAACTTTGATTTTTTTTTAATTTAATCTTAACTATCTTTTATTTATTGATTTAATGTTTAATATATATATTTTTTAAATATTAGAGTGCTAGATTTAGAATTATCTAAATAAAGAGGTTATTTTGTTCTTACGTGATTTTACAGATTAAGTTAAAAAATTTAATGGTATCATAATTTTTACCTAATCTAACTTTAGGTTAGACAGGTTAACAAATTGATCGGATTAAAAATAAAATATATTTAAACTAAAATAATTAATTAAAAAATATTTAAATAAAAAATATTTTTATAATTTAAATTATATTAATAAATTTGATTTTTTATTTATAATATAATTATTTAAAATATAAATTATAAGAAAATGAATCAACTCAACATTAAAATAAGAATTAAAAACTTATTTTTTTCAAATTAATTTATAATATATATTTTAACAAAATAATATATTTTATTTAAAAAATAATTATTATTAAACGGATTATTAAGTTAAGTTAATCTGATTTAAGTTTATAAAAACCATAACCTAAATAAATAGAACCAAAACTTATTCAATTTAGGTGAAACAATTTTTTTTTCTTAACTTAACCTATTTTTTTCCCTAAATTT